CCTGTCTGTGGTCAGCCCTGGGGAAGCGCCTGGATCCCATATATTTGGCACTGGCAGCACTGGGAGGTGCCCAAGTGAACCTTGCTGGGCTCCTCCATGGTCCAGACTCTGCCATGGTGGTGGACAGAAGCAGAAGACTGTTCCAATGGGGACTTGGAAGCTGCTCTCTAGGGTTGGAGACCCCCCTGCCTTGCACCAGGCAAGAGGTGTGCTCTGCAGCTCTCCCACGGGTCAGTGCAGGGTGAAATATCTGTATGTGGACCCAGCAAGGGCTCCCAGGAAGCAGAGGAGTGTCTGGGTGCTGTTGCTTGGAGCCTGCCAGGAAGAGCACGACCCATCCCAGCTCCGAGGGCGGGCAGGGAGGAATGGCCCCGTGCTGAAATGTCTGCACAGTCTCAACTAAATCTGCCTGTCCAGGCTCCAGCTGCCTAAGGCAGGGCTGCTACCAAATTTTGGCACCCAGTGACATGCAGAAAGTGGCCTGTTGTCCGTTAAGTGGTAGAAGTGGAGCAAATATGTTATCCTGGGGCCCTTCGTTCTTATATAAAGCTGCTTTACTTGGGGCGTGGCTGCTGATGGCTAAAAGAAGCCAAGTTTCTTTGAGGTTGTTGTCACCTGAGAGAGTGGGGCTGCTGAATCCCGCCTCAGATCACTCTCTGAGTGGAAAGCACCACGGGTGAACACCTCCAGCCTGAGGCAAAGCCGATTTCTTCCACCGCAGGTGCCCTGTTGCAAGTCCACACGAAATAGCTGGCACCTGCTCAGTGCTCAAGTCCTGGAGAGCATCGAGGAGGGCAAAGAGTTTGGGTGGGTGGAAGTGTGTGTGTGTGTGTGTGTGTGTGTGTGTGCAGGATGCCTGAGGGCAAGGAGGAGCAGTGACCGGGCCATGCTATGCAGCACAGCACTGTCAAAGTTTGATATCTTCAGCCACCAGCGTGTCCCCCCTCAGCGTAAGAGTAAAGCTTAGAGCGGCTGTTTCCTGCTGTCGTCATGAAGGACTGACCTGCTCTGCTGAAAACCAGCTCTTGCCCTGGTAAGATGTGGCTGTTTCAGGGTAGAGAGTTGCCCTGAGAGGCAGCACCAAGCTCTTGGGGTCAGGAAATGTAAAACGCCATGTTTGGGGTCAAACTCCTCAGTGGGAAAGTGCACGAGTGCGAGTTCCTGCATTTAACACAAACCCGGCATTGCAGTCTCTCGCCTGCTGAGCAGACAGGCTTGTGCTCTGGCCAGCCTGCATTTAATGTGAAAACAGAGGGCTTCTAGGCTGATGAAGTTAAGTGTCCCTGCGGGAACTTGCCCCATTCTTGGGGCTTACCCTTCCTCCGGCAAAGCCCCATGTGACTGGTGAGTAAGCCCAGTGTTTCCTGTAGAAAGTGCAGCCTTGCTCGCTGTTGCCTTGCAAAAATCTAGTAACTCTTTCCTCTAGCATCGAGGCTGCGTTTCCTGCAGTGTCTGGCTGCCTCCTCGAAGCATCCACACGGCAGGAGAGGGGACGCAGACAGGGGCTGGATTTCTGTGCTGTCGGGGGTGGGAAGGGCTCGCTGCGCAGCTAATGCAATATTCAAGGCGGCTGTAGCAATGCCAGCAGGTGCTGCTCGCTCAGAGGGCGGATGGCAGCCGTCTCTCCTTAGGGATAGGATATTTCGTGCAAGTTCCTGCACACAGACTACCGAGTTAGCAGCTTGGGAGAGCAGCTTGCCTCAGTCACAGCTTCCCTTGCTGGGAAAATGTGCTTTCTGCAAAGTATAAGGTCAGCGTGACCGGTGTGCTGAATGAAATCTCCCTGTCAGCTGCCACTGAGAGGAGCAGGAGGGGCTGGTAGATCTGTGAATGTGTGGCTGCTTCTGCCTGCTCAGACCTTTAGCTGAGCTCCAGGACATGGGCCTCCTCCTCTTATCCAGCCCAGGAGATCCTCATCTAGGAGGAAAGTGTTGCTTCGCTTTGCCCCAGCATGCGAGTGAGTAGCCAAGGGCTGTCTGCAAACACGAAATGCAGGTGTTGGGTTCAGCTTTGCTCATGAGTTTATTTCTCCTGTGCCAGGACAGGAGGATGTGGAGCTATTAACACTTGGTTGACTCCGTGCCCCTCACGGCAGGGCACGTACTGAGCTTAGGTTTCTGCCAGCGCGGGTATATTGCCAATGTCCCAGGCCCTGCAAATAAGAGGTACGTTGGGGATTTACAGTAACTTATTCTGACTTTGTGTCTCTTGGAGGACTCGCTGTCGTGGGGAGCACAGTGCTGAGCCACCCACCGGCTCGGTCAGGGTGTCACTTACTCTGCTTCTTCTTTAGAGATTCGCTTCCCCGAGTATAAAACTTCTGCAATCAGGGACACCATGGGGTCGCAGTTCAGGCTGGCAGCTGCAGTCACGAAGCCGTCCCTGAAAGGGAAAGCAGAAGAATGTGCATCTCTTCCGTGTACATAACTCAGCAGGGCAGCAGCCCCGTGGCACCCTGGCTGGAGGCCGGCTGTGTTTTGGAGGGCTCAGGGCCGGCTGGCTGGTGCTGCGGGGTGCGCAGGGACGGGTGGCAGATCGCCTGGCGCCGCCGGGAGCTGAGCAGTGAGCCTGGGAGCAGTGGGGCAGAGGGAGAGGAGATGTATCCCAGGCTCCCTGCCCAGCTGGTGTCTTTAAAGCTTATCCTCTT